TAAGAGTCTGATCTAGGAGTCTTTTCTAACTCTAAAACCCATTCCTCTCCACCTCACTACTCTGCTAGATCTGTCTAATATAGGTCACAGTTTGCCAGGTGAATCTTCAAGAAAAAGGACTATTGAAAATAACCACTTGGGTTTCTCCTTTTCCAACAATAATAGATCTGCAAAGAGGCATTTCTGGTTATTGTTTGGGTTACAAGCAGGTCTCAGTTCTGCTTTAGCCTCTGGAAAAAAATGAAAGGAAGGCACAAAAAAATTCAAATCAGTGATGGAGTAGTAACTCACCTAATATGCTTAACATGATACTAAAAAAATTTGGTCATTGTCATTTATCAGCATTTTTAGTTTCAGGCCAACTATAATATGGGGAAGAGAAAGGTGAATGAGAAAAGAGATTATATTTTCTGTCTTTTTAATTACCCAGCCACCAACACCCCACCACCACCATACTCTTACATACAGACACCAAGTGCAGGACTTACAAAAAGCTGCTCTTAATAATAATTCTCAAGTCATTCATTCAGTAAGTGTCAATTGTGCACATACTAGGTACTTGACTGTACTAAAGGGAACAAGACAGATAAGGCCCCTACTTATGTGAAGCTTAGATTCTGGAGGGAGAAGGTAATAAATAAATGAACACCACACACAGGAAAAAGTCAAGTCATGACAAGTGCTAAACAAAGATCTAAAATGGGATAATGGCTGGAGAATGATTAAATGTGGCTTCTCTAGAAGAAGTGATCAGGGAAGGCTTCTGTAGTTTAGTCGGGGCTGGAATGGGGGTGCATTCCAAGAAGAAGCAAAGGATGGCACAAAAGGCAAAAACAAGGAATGGTGAAGGCAAATGAAAAGTTGAACCAACTGGAAACCACCAGACCTTTCCTCATCAAGTCCACTACTAATAAAATGTTCATTATTAATAGAGTATGTTGCTATTTTGAACACATTCTTGAATTGGGGGAAGTGGTGTGAATGTAACATGGGAGCAAAACATTCAGGAAACACTTAGAAACTTAGAGACCTTGTACATTATTAGTTTCTCCCACCAAAAACATGCTAAAGATAGAAGAAAGCTATGAATTAGCAAACTAAGTGATGGGCTTGCTGTTTCAGAGATTGAAACAGGAAAACACATGGAAAGTGAAAAGGGGGACAGTACTGTGTGTTGGGCACTATGGTAGTCTTTACACACTTCCCCTTACTGATTTCTCACAAGGCCTTGCGAAGTAGGTGGTATTAAGCATATTTTACAGAGGCGCAAATTGAAGCTCCATAAAGTCAAAACATCTAGAAGATACAGATTCAAAACTAGGCCCACCTGTTTCCAAAACTACTGCACCACCCATACAGACCTTTTGTTTCTGAAATTGCCTTTCACACCATATTTTTCCAAGACCTTCATCCTCTCTTCTGCCATGGTGCAAATTCTGGGCCGAAGCCAAATTTTAGCTCAGCCCCATTATCATTCTCCTGCCTCAGTTAAGCAACTCTTTCCTATACAGTTAACTTTTCAGAACAGCTTTCTGTGATGGGTCTTAGTGAACAGGAGGGCTGTTAGTGATGCACATGCTTCCTGTGGAGACTGGTTGCAGGAGGAAAGGAGCATTTGGTTGTTTTTAGTGCCAAACAACAAGTTGCTGGAGAGGACAAAGTGCCTATTAGGCTTAAAAATTGTATCTACAATAGTCTAAATCACAGATGAATTGTTAAATTCATGACTTCGGCTCATCATCTTATGTCAGGAGGTTTCATTATTTGAATCTCAAACAATAGCTTGAGCTGCACATAAAGAAAACCAATAATAATACGCAGTCCTCAGCACTCTTCATTCTGTTTTTGATCAAATGGCCCTTGATCCTTATTATTCCACACCTTTCAATCTACCCTAAACTAACATTTATCCGTTTCAAAGTCCCCCATCATAAATCAGCCGTAATGGAAGCTCTTCTTCTTGCTTTTATTGCAAGGGTATAAGCTCTAACCTTCATGTCTAAAGTGTTTACCTGGCTTTTTCACAGCTGACTCAGTAGATTGGAACCTTTTAATGCAACCTGCATGGAATGTGGTCACCAAATCTATGTGAAGTCTTCATAATTTTTGTGTGATTGATAGCATATTGCTCTTCACTGGTGAGGGAAACGGCATCTATTTCCTGCTTGCTTCCTTTTGTAGATATTAAGTTACTTAATCCATTTACTTTCGTGATTGGGACTTCAGAGGTAGAAATGTGAAGGAAAAGAGAAAAGCGACAAAGCTCAACAAATCTATGCCTGACTCTTAGGCCTCGATGTTTTCCACTGCATGATCTTACCTCCTGGAATTATAAAACCAAAGCTCCCTTTTCTGCAGAGTAACCCAGTTGTGGGGAGGGGAGATAAAAAATCAATCAGTCAATCAAACACCATAGTTTTAGGAGAAAAAGAGCCCCTTTCTGAAATCAAAGGAAAATAGAGCCGTACAATTTACTTGCATGCGGAGCTTCCATAGCTCCACAGTTCCCCAGACTACTGTCTGCGGCCATCCTTTAGACCTTCAAACAACCCTCCTGGTCCTGCATCAGCTACCATCATCCTCAAGCTTAAATGCAGTCATCTGTCTGTATTTCAAAACTTTCTCCCGACCTACTTCTTTCTATTTATTACGCCATTTCTCTCCAAAACGATGTATTTGAAAGAGTTTTTAAACCATGGTGTTATATCAGTTCTAGGTATTATTACTAAACACAACTCAAGACCTGTAAAAACCTTTCTCAGATCAACTTTGTCTGCCCATTCTTTAATTCAGCTAAGAGGGCACACCTCTGATCTAGGAAAGGCACATGTGTCTCAGAAGCTCAGAGAGTAATAAGAATAAGAGATAAATGACTGCCTTAGGGAGTGTGTAATCTGCTGGTCCCCAGCCCTACTCTCCCAGTCCACTTTCCTCATCTGCATGTACCATTTTCGCCATTTTTTGAATGTTTTTAATTGTTTCTTTTGTCGTTTCTGTTACTTATCATAAACTCCTCGGGACCGTGTCCATGTGTTACCTTTAGCCAGAAAATCTGGGTAGTGTCATGCTATGAATCAAAACCACGAACTTTGGGGGCGCCTGGGTGGCTCAGTCATTAAGCGTCTGCCTTCTGCTCGGGTCATGATCCCAGGGTCCTGGGATCGAGCCCCACATCGGGCTCCCTGCTCAGCGGGGAGCCTGCTTCTCCCTCTCCCACGTCCCCTGCTTGTGTTCCCTCTCTTGCTGTCTCTCTCTCTGTGTCAAATAAATTTAAAAAAATAAAAAAAAAAACATGAACTTTGGATAAACTGTTTATCTCTCAGCTTTGTTTTTCTCACTTGAAAGATGCAAATAACACCTACTATATACAAAGTGGTTGTTAGAAGTAAGTGAATAATAATTTTAATGTACAAAATAGATAATAAATGGTTGCTATATCATGTCACTCACTTGCTTTAAAAGAAGCCTTTAATAACACCTCTGTTGTCTTTCAAATAAAAGTAATGTCTCAGCCTTCTATTGGATGCCCTCGAGGAAGACCCCCAACCTACTTTGTCAGCCTTCTCTCTTTTGACTCCCTATACGTTCTTTCACTCAAACCAAAAGTCCTATGCCAAATACACCCTCCTCTTTCCATCATGAGGGCACACCGGTAGTACATCATCTTTTGAGCCCCTTGTGGTTTTTTTTTTTATTTTTTTTTTAATTTTTTTTTTAATTTTATTTATTTATTTCAGAGAGAGAGAGAATGAGAGATAGAAAGCACGAGAGGGAAGAGGGTCAGAGGGAGAAGCAGACTCCCCGCCAAGCAGGGAGCCCGATGTGGGACTCGATCCCGGGACTCCAGGATCATGACCTGAGCCGAAGGCAGTCGCCCAACCAACTGAGCCACCCAGGCACCCGAGCCCCTTGTGTTTTAAGAAAGTGTTTGATGCTTGCATATATTTTTGCTTACTGCCTAATTTTGTTTAATATCTACTGGATTTTAGCTATTAAGAACAGAGCTCTAGAATCCAGCTCCTTGTTTATTTTCATACAGCGGCTCCACAGTCATCTAGCCGTGTGGCCGTGGACACATCATTTAATCCCTCACTATTCTTGCCTGTGAATGGAAATAATAATAATAGTAACTATTACAGTGAGGATAATAATATAACTATTATTGTGAGGATGCAAAATAATAATTCATGTAACTAACACAGTAAGCTCTCATTAAACATCAGCTGTTTTTATTACGAGAATTTCTAGTTGTTTTCTCATTCAAGTCTGCAAGATATTTTCCAACTTATGAGGAAGGTTAAGTGGTTCTTTCAAAGTAACAACAGAGCAAGTAATTGGAAAAGATGAGATTTGAAACCAGAGCTGTCTGACCCCAGAATTCCTACCTTCCCACCACCCTGTGTACACTGTGCTAATTTCTGTACCTGAAAAATGTCCTTCCTTATATCTAACTAAAATAACTTTCCCAGGCCCATCTCAGGTTCTGTCTCCTTCAAAAAGTCTCTTTGATCCCCATCCAAATGTGATGTCTTCCTCAAAATCCTCATAGTGGTGTGTCACTCGTTTGTACCCAGCATTGTGCTCCAGTGACTTCTGTACTCCATCATGAGATCTTGGACACCAGGGTAGGTGTCCAAGGGTAGAGGTTGCCCCTGAAACAGAGCACTTTGCCCCAAGTCTGCACCCTATTTCGTCTGTAGCGGAGCACTTTGCACCAAAGAGACATTCAGTAAAGTCACTTGAGTTGAACAGAGGGTTGTTAAGGCCACAAATGGAAAATTCTGTCCAATCCAATCCAGGAATCATTTACTTACAAACACATCTTTATACCAGGTCCTGTAGTAGACACTGGGTTTAAAGAGATTAGCAAGGCAAAAACCCAGTTTGATAAAAGTGCTTTGAAACCAGAAAGTGATTTTTTTTAATTGGAGGCGTTACAATCAATCAGATGAAAAAACACTTCAGTAATGCGAAGGGGTTCTCACTTCTCATTCCTACAGATACAGTTGTCTCCTCCAGCTGCTGTACCAGTTTAGACTACATCGTCACCTACCTCTTCAAGCACATAGCAAAAGAGGGCAAGAAGCCACTTCGATGCGGAGAGGCTACCCAGGCCGGTCAGAGACTATTACATTTTATGCAGCAAAATCCAGATGTCCTACAGCAGGTAACTGGTGGTCGGTCACCTGGCTTAAGAAACAGAGTTGCCCAAAAGCCAGCCTAGACCCTGGATGTCTCTTAGAGCAAATGGTTCGGTCAAGACTCGTTATCAGTCATTCTCTAGGAGTATTTTCCTGGAAGATAGGGTAGCACACTCGCCCCAGGACTACTCACCCTCAAGAAATCTCTTAAGTCGTTCATCTTACTCCAGTGAAGCTAGAATTCAAAGAAAGGATAGCTCTTCCAGAGGCCTGAAAGAAATAAAAGGCAAAGCCAGAACTAGAAATAGTCAAGCTCTGGTTTATTTCTTGGAGCCTCTAATAATGTCTTCTGAAGTTTGCCTTGTGAGTCCTCTGGTACATCAGGGAACTGCCATTTGCTGAGCTCCCAGTCGGTGCCTAACAGCTTGCTGGGAACTTTCCGTTCATCGTACCACAATTGGTATTCTTCCCATTTAAGATAAGAAATCAAGGTTCAGATAGATCATATTCCCCAGAGCATTTAAGTAATAAAGCCACAACTTCTTCATTTTCAAATGTGTTTTCTGACTGGCTAATATGAGTTAGGTCCAAGTTTAATATTGTTTTTTTAAAAACTCACTTCTGCAAATCACAGTAACATCATGCATAAAAATAAATAAGACATGTCGGAAATATTTCAAAGAGAATAATACCATTTTTCTAGGGAGATACCATCACTATGATATTTTCCAGTTCCACTAACTTTGGAAACTTTATACTGCTTCCAGTTGTTTTATTTTGCCAAATTATCCTCCTAATAGTTTGTTGTTTGCAAATGTAAACACTTTAACAAGGTTATTAGCCAACAAACAAGGTGCCTGCCACCAGCAGAAAGTATCACTCTGAGCAAAGAAATGATGGACGTAGAATGAGCCAGCCATGGGTGAGGTTTTCTTCCTGGCTATCATTTTTTACGATTATTCAAATGAAATTATATAAACTTATTTTGGGTGATGTCTCAGCCTGTTGTTTTCCTGGCAAGGAGGTGTGTAGTTAAGATTTTGTGTAACTAGACAAGGTGCTGTCGGCCTCTAAATATTTGGTGTGCCCCTGGAAGTGTTAACAACGCGTCGGTGATACAGTAAAGAGAAGAGAAAGATCGCACGTGTGTTGAGGACTTTCTGTGCACAAGGTCCAAGAGCCACTAAGACTCGTAAGGCCTAATTTCTCTCCTTAAAAAGGTGCTATCAGGTGGGACAGAGATAATTGGTTAGTTATTAGGTAACTAACCACTTACATGATAATTTGATTAATATAGTGGTGACAGAGATTGACACACGAGGAGAGGACTTTCAGAGAACTCTTCTCATTTACACCCCCACAATAACCCTGAAATGTGGATATCATCACCCCCATTTTACAGGTGAATAAATTGAGACACAGAGCAACTGGGACGTGGAATGTGAACCAAGGTTTGTTTGACTCAAAAGCCTAAGTCCTTACCACTTACACTGTTGACTCTCAAGGGCCTAGTTGGTAGGGATAAGATCTCAGATTCACCAGGAATGCCATTTCAAACTATACATTCTATTGAGATTTGGGCGTACCCCTCCTTCCCCCTCCACCACCTACCCAGCTGCAGTAGCCTCTGGTACTGTTGGGATGTCATAGCCCTCAGGTGTTCTGCAAGGAGAAGGTTGAAAACCACAGATTTAGAGCATGTAGCCAGTGGAGAAAAGAAATACCCATGGATTGGCCAGGAATCAGACCCAGCCCCCAGCCCACCATGGCAAATGACAAGTCCCCCACCAAATCCCTCCTGCCGGCCCTCAGCCTGATCACATTATTATCCCATAAAGTTTGGCAGAAACTTTTAAGTCGGTAGATTTTACCAAAATCAATAGGCTGTGATCCTAGACAGATACCATCAGACTGTGCAGAGCAAGTGATGTGGTTGTACAGGAGATGATCAAGTTTGTCTTTACTCAGAATTACCATGCATTTGTTGGTTTAAGTAATTTCTGTGTGTTAATAATACTTGGTAATCCTTTGCTTTATAGCATATGACTAAGTAGTGATATATCTTTATTAACAGTGGAATACATTCTATTTATTTGGAATGTAGGCTTTCAGATAGCATTTTAAATATTAATGACTGGTCTCTGGTAGTCAGCATAAATATGATTTGCATTAGCACTAGGTTATATCATCTTGAGTGCCTCTGATGTCAACTATCGGGTATAGTAATATCTGACATCATCTCCTTAGGTCACTGACAACTTTGACCTCTATTCTTATGCACAGTTTCTGTCGTCTCAAAAGCTCTTTTGAATTGATTTGAAATTTTGACTCTTCCCTTTATGAGGCAGTAAAATTGATAATTATTCAGATGGGAACTGAGCGCTGAGTGAAAAATCAATTCTACCCGCTCTCTGCTGCGTATAAAATTACTTCTGAGTCGGCTGGACTGAACGGATGGCCGGAGTAAAAGCAGCAGGCCGGAGTAGTGGGAAGAATTAGCTGGACAGAGCTAATAGCCTGAAGGGATGGACTTGGAAAAGAGGGAGTGGGCCAGTTGGGGGTTATTATGAGCAAGGATGGGTCCCATTGATCATCTGTTTACATCAGCTTTCCAAGACCTTATAAATCAGCCCTGAAGAGCAGCAGAACTCGGAGATTCGGCATCTTACCAGAGGGACTTTGTATTAGATTATTCTCATTTTCACACTCAGATGAAAAGTGAGCCATTGATTATTCATTGGTTGCCCATTAAATGCTGTTTTTATAGATGATTTGCCTATCACTGAAGGTAATGAACAAGGTGGCTGCTTTATAACTCGAGGTTTCAGTTTTCAAGGCATCTGTGTCGGTTAAGTAATGCCTAACCCTATTAAAAGGAATGGGTTACAAATTGCTTAACAGTGCTGAAAAACTAGACCCTAATGACTAATTGTGCTTGGAGTTTAGAGAGGGTTTGTCAGCTCTTTAAACTAAACTGATGCAATGATACTGCAATTATTTACTAGTTTGAACTGTTTTCCCCCCCAACCTGGATATGTATTGCTGGAAGCGTAATTGCATGAAGAGTGTCAGTTCCAAATTGCAAAAGTTTATGTCCTCAAGCTTCCATAGCAAGCAAAGCATCAACCCACATAAAAGGTTTTCCAGCATCCTTGTAGGCCTTGTGATTGGTGTGCAACAGCCTGGGAAGCACATTTTAAGCGCCTCTCACCTGGAAACGTGCTTATTATGATCTGTTATGTGGCTTGAGATCCTCAGTGTTTTTAAAAATATTCTCCAAATAAGCCGTCTTCCATAATCTGTAAACAAACCTAACTTTGCTAGCATTAAATTTAGTCTATTTGAAGATCCACTGTAATTAAGTAAATATATTGCAAATAAGAATTATTGTCTCACCAGCACACCTTGGACTTAGCACTTGAGGAGAGCCCAGTTTACGTATAAATATTCCCAGTTTAAGAATAAATATTCCCCATGTGTTCTTATGCCATTAGAAAGATAAACTAAAATCTTAAGAACAAGCCAATAGTAACAGTGATTAGGCACAGATGGGTTACAGCAATTTGGAAAATTAAATTTCTGTATGAATATTTTTCAGTTTTACCTCTGGTCATGTGAAGTGTTTGCCTCTTCTATAAACCACAGATCAGCTTTCATTTAGTTATATCACAGAGTGAAAGATTTGCCCAAATTAGGTAAATGGAGGAGTGTGTTTTATAGAGTTAGAGGGGCAGTTCAGAGATGTGACAGATTCTTTTTCAGATTATAAGAATAGGGCACTGATGCCGAATGCTTCTCTAAATCCGAATTGCAGCTTCAAGTAATTGCTCTGGAGAGAGAGGCACCTTCCGCAGAAGTAGAACAAGAACTCTGTGGTTGTCAGTATTACTGATTAGGGTATGCCGTTAACTTATTAACAAGGTATTTTTAGCAATTATATTCTCTAAAATCTAAATACATTGAAGGGACGAATAGAACATTTAGGTTTGAATTTATCTCACCCTCATCTATTTAGCTGTTGTGTATAAGTCAGCTATCATAAAACCCCCCCCAAAAGTTCTAATTATGATTATCTCTCTCTTTCACTCCCCCCCTCCCTTCCTTCCTCCCTCCGTCCCCCCACCCCCACCCCCAACCTGGTATTTAACTACGAATTGTGAAGAGCTGTCAGGAGCTGTAAGAATCATACTTCAGTAGGGATGTGTGCTGAAAGAACATTCACCCTTTTCCTCAATCAGTCAGTCAATCAATGAAAATTACTTTTTGTATAGTGCTCTTCATGACATGCATCCCAAAGTGAATTACAGCAAAAGGGAAATCATCTGCTCTTTTTTCATTTTTGTGTTTAGATTGAAATGATACTGCTCAACATTTTGACATCCTATACAAGACATCTTTCATACTTAAGATTCCATTCCCTAATACTAAGTAGAAGAAAGTGTAGTCGCATATTTAACTGATGTTGAGATTTTGGCCTATAGAACCTTAGCAACACTCTCACGGTCGGAAACACTTAAGCAGATGAAGTATATTCATGTTCTCTTCATCCTCTTAAAAAATAATTAGCCAGATTGTCTAATGTTATTAAAGACATTTCTAGTGGACCCTAAATAGAAAGCGTGCCCTCCACATGACCCATTAGCTCAGTCTGGTTGATTTGCCACTTTATTATCAAAAATATGGCGGTAGATTGGTACCCAAAACACACGCTGAAGGGACATTCACAACTAGATCAGAGGACAACATGGGTATAGAGGTTTAAAGGAAGCCAGGGATAGGTCATTAGACACCAAAAAGTAGAAAGCAGGAACTCACGTTTCAGGACAGAACTGGTTTTTGCACATGCTGCCACAATCTCAATTTTCTTCACGGCACTCTGTGCGTGGACTATGTATTTATTTCTAGAAAAAAAAATGATATTGGCAAAATATAAGTGCTTCCTGTGTGCAGCTTAAGCTTTTACATATGTGTATAATCTGATTTCATCATCACAGTATGTCTATGAAGCGGTGGTATTATGATGGCC